AGTGTCTGACCAATGAGACCCAGAAATGTGATTTCCTTGTACTCTTGAGCTATTTGCTCCAGGTGTACCTTTTTTGTGGGTATCCCTTTTGTCCCTGGCAATTTTTGACTCCCTGTTGTGATCATCTCTAAATTGTTGTTGACCTATTCTTGGTAGGACTCTCTTCTCAGGTTGGCTTAAAGTGAGGCTTAGCCACAACCATGTAATGTGAGCTGTCATACAGGTGCTGACAGGACAAAGCAAACACAACCGAATTTCCAGGAAAAAAAACATTAACTTACAAAATATTCAGATAATCACAATGAAAACATCCCAAGAGAAAATAAAATTGGGAGAGTGAAGTGAGAATGCAAATGCTAAAACAAAGACAGAGAAGGATATTATTGCTATTAGTAAAAACAATAATAGCAAAATAAATAAAAAATAAAAATTAGAGAAGCAACTGGGGAAGGGGCAGAGGAAGGGTTCTGAAAGAAAATAAGAGTGAGCAAAAATTAAGGGTCGTGTGTAGTAACAGAAAAATTGTTGGGAAAAAGTTAAAAAAATAAAGAGGAAAACACAAAGAAACAAACTATCAAGCTAACAAAAGACAGGAAGACAGAGAATACAAAGGGAGAAAAATAAAATAAAATAAGAAAGTTATGCCAGTGGGACAACAAGAGAGAGAGAGGTAAAGGAAGGGCAATAGAAGGATGCCAGTAAGAGATATTGGTTACATTATAGAAAAAAGCAATAAAATTATTGGTTATAATGATAATATCCCAGAAATAGCCATCCTGCACCCTAATGACTCTTGAGTCTTTTGCATGCTGATTTCAGGTCTCCTGGGAGTTACTTGTGTATCAGCCAATGTCAGGAGCTGCCTACAATTGGCTCTGATGTCCTTATGTAATTGGCTGGCCTGAGGCTCTCTGTGGACACTTCCACTTGTCAGCTGTTTTGCCTCCCCCTCATGGTTGCCTGGTCTTACTCCAGAGTCTTCTGAAGAGTCATTAGGGTGCAGGATGTTAGTGTAGCTCATAATATTGTTTTCCTTATGTCAGACAGTCATGGTGGGGAAGTTAGTCTCTGCTTTACAGCCAGCTCCCCAGTCTCTACCCTATCCTCCAATTCTAGTTTCCCATATACTGGCCTACTGAAGCTTCAGATTGACTTCAGTCTGTCACCTTTTTTGTGTGGGCAGTTTCAGCAGTCTGGGCTCAGTGTATTTGATTTAAAAAATTTTAACTGAGCAGTTTGCCTGCCCAGCCCCCTGGAGGAGTTTTAAGGTTTTCCTCCAGTTTACAAGCCATAGTCCCTGAGTGTCTTACTCTTTTCTTGTCACCCCATGAGCTATTTTCCCTTTCCCCTCAGGACTGTGCCCTGCAGAAAATATCTGGGGCTTCAGTGCACTGAATTAGATCTTTTCCTTTTGGGGGTGGTGCTCCTAACATGCAGGGAAGGTAAGTGTGCTCTGCCCCTCCTTTCCAAAATCTGGTTGGCTGATCTCACAGGGCACTCAGCTCAAACACTGCACAGTGCAGACACAAATTCCAGCTTTTGCTTGTCTGTCTCCCCAATCAAGCAGAATGATGGATAACCAATCAGCAACAAAAAATGGGACAAAGCTATAATCAGGCTGAGAACCCACTCTGTGAGGTCCCAGCATTCCATGACTCAGGGCCAAGCTGAAAGGGATCACAAAGTCAGCCCAATGCAGGTCTACTCCACAGCTGATCTCAGTAAAGGTGGGACAGCTCCTTGCACACTATTGCAGCTCCCCTCAGAGCAGGTAAAAAATCTGATTCCTCCCACTGGCAGCTCAAGGAGGTGGAGACTCAATACATCCTGCTGGAAGCTTCGTTATTCTCTCTGGCAATGGGAGGGCTCTGTTTCCCTTTCCCATGTCATGCAGTTCTAAAGCTTCCTGGGGTTCCACACAGTGCCTTATAGGAAAGCCGAGGGTCCCTTTAGGTTTCTGCTGAGTGTAGCCCTCTGGCCTCTTTCTATTCTAAAGCCACACACTGCAGGACACACTTTCTGTGGTCAGTGCCCCGGGTGAAAAATCTCCTGTCCAGGTTGCTGCCATTAGGTGCATTGTTTCCCTAGTAAGGTGTGGTCCCTTCCTTGCAGGCACACTGTTCCTGCCTTCCTTGCTCTCTCTGCCTGCCATGGATGAGCTCTCCTTCCCTTCTCCTCTGCTCTGGGTTTGAGATCCCAGCTTTTGGATGTCAATCCATGCTCCCAAGGGGAGGAAGCTTTGCAGCCTCTAACCCTTGGGCCTTGAAGCCCAGCACTGGCTTTAGGGGGGACTCCCACTTTTAACATCCCCCTGTCTTACCAGACTTTGTGATTCTTCAGTGCTCCTTACTGGAAATCTGTCCACTCAGGTACATTTCTCATTTATTCTAGCTGGTTACACAGTATTTTAGTGGTAAATCCAGTCTGTGATTGGAAGCAAGTGTGCTCTGCTTCTCAGAGTGCTGCCATCTTTCCTCCCCACCAATATTTTTTTATCTTTTCAAAGATCTAGCTCTTTTGTTTCATCAATCTTTTGTATTATTTATTTAGTCTTCAAGAGGTTACATGTTATCTGTGGTTCATGGAGCCTGCCCTTGGCCTCTAACTGATTATGAAACAAGACATGTTGAGCAATGTTTTATAGAATGATTAGTAACTGCCTTATGACATCATTCATGAAATGAGACCCACCCTGGACTAGCTCACTCAAGTATTCACTGAGTAGCTTAAGGTCTCCTAAAATACATCCCCAATAGGGGTGAGTAGTTTTTTGGTTATATCCTCCTGCCATGGTGGGGGATGATGGCCACCCTCATGTTTACATAATGTATCTAAGACTTTAATCACAATAGCCAATGAAACTGCCATTTCACATGCTAATAGACATAAATCTTCAGATTCTCTAGATAAAGTTGTCTTAGATAATCAAATTGCTTTAGAGTACATGTTGGCAGAACAAAGAGGTATATGCATGACTATCAACTCTTCTTGCTTACTTATATTGGCACCTCAGCCCAGGTAGAGAGAAGGCTCACTGAGATCAGAAAACAAGCTACCTGGCTTCAGCAAACATTAGACCATCACACTCCATGCTTTGAAAGAACCAGACATTGGTTTGCAATTCTGTTCTCATCAGTGCCTCAAGGATTCAGGTCCATATTAGGGGGGATTCTTAAATTATGTTTAACTGGATTTTTGTTTTGTGTTTTCTTTTTCCTTTACTACTTTCCCTTTTACTTTAAATATTTTCATGGATTGCTCTTCCTACATCAGAAAATTTATATCTGGTTTACATTTGCCTTTAGACCATGAGATTTTGCTTTACAAATGGCTCAAGTTTTTTATTTTCTCAAAAGATTCAAGAGACACCAATAGCTCTATAAACACAGAGAAATAATTGACTGTGGAGTTGTAAGAGGGTATAAAATATTTGTCATATTGCTAGCACCAGCACTTCCAATTTCTGCATGTACAATATAAGGTCATAATACAAGACTTTGGCTGATGCAGATCACCCAACCAAAAAATTTGGCTGATATGGCCTTGTTTTAGTACACTGACATGAAAGATTCATATTGAGACCAGCAAGGACACTGCCTGCATGTCTACAGGCCCTCTCTTTGATCTCTTATTTCTGTTTCCTGTCTATATAAAATCTTTTCCTACACTGAGATGCTGAGATAGAATTTGGGATGAGAGTCCCACATCCTCTCAGGTGGCTGGCACTTGAATAAAATGCTTTACTTTTCACTAATACCTCTGTTATGAGTTTGGACTGTCTGGAAGAAGGCAGGAAAACCTCCATTCAGATCGTGTGTGTGTGTGTGTGTGTGTGTGTGTGTGTGTGTGTGTGTGTGATTCAGCTATACAGAAAAGAAAATTCTTATTTGCACCAACACAACAATTGAGGCCATTAAGAGTACAGATAAAGACAAACACTGTGCTATCTCACATGCAGAATCAAACATAAATACAAGAAAAAACCATGGTTGCAATGGCAGATGTTTTGGGGAAATGAGAAAATATTTATTAAAAATATTATTTATTAAACCATACCATTATTAAATATTCTAATCATATTAATATTTATTAAAAATATTAGTTCAATTATAAGATGCATAAATCCTGAGATATATTCAGTGTGATGACTATAGTTAACAGCACTGCATTATAAGCTTAAAAGTGTTAAGAGAGTAGACTTTAAGTGTTTTCACCACACACACATAAATTGTAATTATGTGAGGGCATAAATATGTTAACTAACCTTAACCTGGTAATCATTCCACAATGAGTATGTATCAGATATCATGTTGTATACCTGAAACTTACACTATAGTATATGTTATTATATTTTCATAAAGCTGAGAGTAAAATAAAAAGGAACTAATCTCCATTTTTTTACAAAGACTTACTGGAAGAAAACATACCATTATTGAATAATCAAATCATATTAATCTTTAGATTTCTTGATCCTAAATTACTGTTTTTTCAAGAATGAAGAAATCAGTGTCGACAAAAATGAAAGAATATGTTTTCCTACTAACCTATGTACATATGGCAAGACTATTTTTGTTTTAAATATTCTGACATGACCATTTCCTTTTAATAACAAAGGTCTTGTCTTTTAAGATGTATTACTCTGGTCCCTATAATTTTGAGACTTTTTTCTGTGACTATAACAATTGAAAATTGATCACAGTATACTGATGAATTGATCAGAGCAAATTGATCAGAGTACTGATTCACCTATCTATTCATTAGCAGCTCTCATTAATTTGCCCTTCAAATCTGTTTTCCAGCTATATAGTATATGAGGTAGAACATGAAATAGCATAAAATGTATATATCAACAAATCCATAAAAGATATTTTAGTTTTATAAAATGTCACATTCCCTTTCCTTTTTAAAATCCTCATCTGTGTATATGTTTTAATGATTTTAGAGAGGGAGGAAGGTAAAGAGAAAAAGAAAAGCATCAACATGAGAAACATTGATCAATTGTCTCCAATATATGCCTGAGCCAGGGACTCAACTTTGACCTAGATCTGTGTTCTGGCCAGGAATCAAACCTGCAACCTTTTATGTACTACAGGATGCTCTAACCAACTGAGTCTCCCAGAGAGGAGTTATCTCTTTCATATGTCATTTCTACCATCTACTTTCTCTCTGCCCAAAACATTTACACACTCTTCTGTTCATGACATTCTAATTAAATATTACCTTATCTTGAAAGCATTTTTATTTTCCAAGTCCATTTATATATCACATTGTAGTATCCTGATATTTCTTTTGCCATATGGTATTTTTTTTTCTGATTACAACTGACTCTCTTTTTTTGTCTGGAAATGTCTAACTTGTCATTGATAAATCTCCAGTATTTTTCAGTGTCTTAAATGTAAAATGAATTATGTGTATTTGTCCTGATCAGCTTTTGGAACAAGATACAGGTTTTGTTTGTTGTGTTTTGTTTGTTTGTTTGTTTGTTTTTGCTGTCTATAATTAGATTTGAGAAAAAAAATATTCCAAGTCATTTGCTTGGCAGTAATAATAGTTCAAAGTACTGTTGATTCACAGGAGAAAAATAAATTTTATTAGCAACTGATTAAAATATTTTGTTATAAATGAAAGGAAATTTGGTATATTTTATGTTTGGTGTATTTAAATAAAGTAAAATTCAGCATGTTTGACTACTTTTCTATGGAAATCTATTTTCTAATGCAGAACTAATTTTTTCTTTAATGAAAAACATACCCAATCTTACTCCAGAAGTAAAAGTCAATTTTCAGTTACTAATTTTTATTCTTTGAATTGAATTTCCTCTTTAGTTTATGTAAAATCACATTGGTTCAGGCTCATTTTCTGTATGTTCTGATAATGCTTTGCCTGACCATCCTGGATGCAAATACTGGTAGAAGAGAAGCATAAAACCAATTGATAATAAATAAGTTATAATGAGCTGTGTGGCAATTAATGAGTCACAGCAATTCAATAAAGATTTCCCACCAAGAAACTTAAATACCAATATCATTGTTACATTTTCTAATAACCGAATGCTGTAGTGAAGGGTTCTATGACCCCACTTCTGTGTCTTATCAATTACTTCCTCATTTGACAATTGCAGTTTCACTGCTGACCAGCAGGAGAAGTTGATTGCAGCATATAGTAGAGTGATCACAATAAGTATCAGTACTGTACCCACTGGATTGAATTTTTTTGTAGTGTTGCTAGGAAGATGAGCTCCACTTGTCCAAAACTCCAGCCACGGTGCCAACAGTGATATGGAAAATGTGATTAATAAAAAGGGTAGGCTCTTCAGTTTCAGAGACGTGGCAAAAAGTACCAGAGTCACTACACGTGAGGTAATCTCCAAACAACGCCAGATCATGATGCAGATGAATTCTATTGGATGTAGCTTAATGTTATTATTGTCATATTTGATCTGGATGGCCAATATATTGCAGTGAATAGCCCCATAAGTAACTGACATTAGGGAAAATGTCATCAACAATGCTATTAAAAATAAACATTGAAATGTTAGAGAATTTCCTTAATAAATGACAATATTCTATTTTAAACTAGTTTTTAAAGGTATATACCTTAAAGAATTCCACTTTTTATAGGTTGTAAATATATTCACTTTTTTAAAGAATAAATATTCATCACTTTCTATATTCAGAGATTGAGTAAATATAAGCATATGATACATATCTCAAAAAATAATAAATATATATATTTACAAACATATACACACATTCCTATAAATAATGACACATATCAGATTAGAAAGATGGATTTCACCCAATCCAGTAAGCTTTGTGATAGAAATTTTATCCAAAATAAAAAGTTATTAGGAAGCTTAAAAAAGAGTTACATCATATGATTCAATAAAAATATAATTATGCTTTACAGAAAGCTTAGTCAAAGGCAAGGATACAAAGCAGAAGGGTAATACATGGTATGTGCATTAGATGCCCCTGAAAAAAATCTGTTGTGAGGTTAAAAAATTAAAAGAAAATCTGGAAATTGAGTTGGCAAGTTTTTCTGACTCAGCTGATCAGAGATATAAGGTTAGAAGTCAATAATTTGGGAATTTAAATATATAAGTTTTTCAAGAACATTTTGAGACCAGTACCCATTTCTGATAAAAACTCTCAGCAAAGTGGGAATAGAAGGATCATACCTCACATAATAAAGAGAATATATGAAAAAACTACAGCCAACATCATACTCAATAGTCAAAAACTAAAATAATTTCTCTTAAAAACAGGAACAAGACAGGAATGTCCTCTTTCACCACTCTAATTCAACATAGTACTGAAAGCCCTTGCCACAGCCATCAGACAGGAATACAAAATGAAAGGTGTCCAAATTGGAGAGGAGGAAGTAAAATTGTCATTATTTGCAAATGCATTGATATTGTACATAGAAAACCCTAAAGACCACCCAAGTACTACTAGGTTTGATAAATTTGGCAAGGTAGCTGGATACAAAATTAACATCCAGTTATCAGTGGCATTCTTATACACCAGCAATGAACTTTCAGAGAGAATCTGAAAAAAAATGCCATTTACCATTGCAACTAAAAAGTAAGATACCTAGGTATAAACTTAATGAAGAATGTAAAAGGCCTGTACTTGGAAAACTACAGGGCACTGAAAAAAGAAATAGAGGAAGATATAAACAAGTGGAAAAATATACCATGCTCATGGATTGGAAGAACTAATATCATTAAAATGTCCATAATATCCAAAGCAAGTTATAAATTCAATGCAATTCCTATTAAAATACCAACAGCATATTTTACACATCTAGAACAAACATTTTGAAAATTTATATGGAACTAAAAAAGACTCCAAATAGCTGCAGCTATCTTGAGAAAAAAGAACAGAGTGGGAGGAATCACTTTGACGAACATTAAACTGTACTACAAAGCTATTATAATCAAAATGGCCTGGAATTGGTACAACAGCAGACGTATAGATCAATGTTACAGAACAGAGACCCCAGAAATAGACCTATACCATTATGGTCAGTTAATATCTGACCATAAAGGAGGCAAGAGCATACGTGGAGTTAAGACAATCTCTTCAATAAGTGGTGCTGGGAAAATTGGACAGATAATGCAAAAAAATGAAACTAGACCACCAACTTTCACCATACACAAAAATAAACTCAAAATGGATAAAAGAGTTAAATGTAAGTCACAAAACCATAAAAATCCTGGAAGAAATCAGGCAATAAAATAACAGACATCCCACATAGTGGGATTTTCACTGATATATCTCCTAGGGCAAGAGAAACAAAAGAAAAACTAAACAATGGGACTACATCGAAGTAAAACACTTCTGCACAGCAAAAGAAATCAGCCTTGAAATACAAAGGAACCCCACCATCTGGGAAAACATATTTGCTGAAGATGTATGTGATAGGGGCTAATTTCCAAAGTGTATGAAGAACTCATACTACTCAGCAAGAGGAAGACAAACAACCCAATTAAGAAATGGGCAAAGGACTTGAATAGATACTTCTCCAAAGAGGACACACAGATGCCAAAAGACATATGCAAAAGTGCTCAATGTCCCTTATCATCAGAGAGATGCAAATTAAAACCACAATGAGGTATAACTTCACACCTGTAAGAATGGCTATCATCAACCAATCAACAAATGACTTATGCTGGTAGGGATGTGGAGAAAGGGGAACCCTAGTACACTGCTGGTGGGAATGCAGACTGGTGCAACCACTATGGAAAACAGTATGGAGTTTCCTCAAAAAATTAAACATGGATCTGCCTTTTGACCTGGTGATCCCATTTCTAGGAATATATCCNATTAAACATGGATCTGCCTTTTGACCTGGTGATCCCATTTCTAGGAATATATCCAAAGAATCCTGAAACAGTAATCAGAAATATACACCCCTATGTTCATAGCAGCACAATTTGTAATAGCTAAGATCTGGTAACAGCCCAAGTGCTGATCAGTAGATGAGCAGATAAAAAAGCTGTGGGACATATGCACCATGGAATTGCAGTTGTAAAGAAGAAGGATCTCATACCCTTTGGGACTGATATGCATGGAACTGGAGAATATTATGCTAAGTGAAATAAGCCAGGAAGAGAAAGACAAATATCACATGATCTTGCTTATACATGAAGCCTAAAGCACTTAATAAACTAATGGATAGAATAGATTCAATGATATGGAAGCATAGATCAGACTGATGAATATCAGAGTGATGGAGAAGGGCTGGTTGTTGGAGGGGGGAGAGATTAACCAAAGAATTTATATGCATATATGCACCCAAGGACATGAACAAAGGTGGGGAGAGGGACTGGGAAGGGGATTGAGATGGGATGGAACGGGCCATTAGGGAGAAAAAGGGACATCTGTAATATTTTAAACAAAATAAATAAAATTAATTTTTGGAGAGAAAAAAGTACATTATGAGAAATAAAACTTTTCAAAAGCAAAATTAATCTTATTTTAACACCGATCTTTTAAAAAATTAGACAAATGAGTACATTAAAGATAGTTTTATGGAGGAATTGAATAGTTGTTTAAGAAATGTTATACCACCTGGCCAGGCATGGCTCAATGGTTGAGCATCAACCTAGCATCCAGGCTATCAGGGTTCAATTCCGGTCAGGGCACATGCCTGGGTTGTGGGCTGCAGCCAATCAATGACTCTCTCATCATTGATGTTTCTTTCTCTCTCCCTCTCCTTTCCTCTCTCTGAAATCAATAAAGGTATATATTTTTTAAAGTTATACTAAAGTAAAAGGGAAAAATCCTTTTAAATATACATGTAATGTACAAAATAATAATTCACACTTGTTTCTCTGAGAACACTCTACAAACATAATTTAATTAGAACAGAAATAAAACCAACTAGTAATTCTTAATATGAATTAACTTAGAAAATCAGAATTCAAATTATATACCAGAAAATAAAACAAAAGCACTGCATTTATACTTTGAGCAGTGGTCAAAATGAAACTGAAGACTTCAAGCACCTTAACTTCATTTATGAGCAAACAAAATTGAAAAGAAAAGACTTAAAAATTCAATACTAGGAAGTAAAATTGATTTTGGGTCTTGGACACACAATGCAACATACAGATGACGTATCATAGAATTGTACAATTGAAACCTCTATAATTTTTTTACCATGTCACCCAATGAATTTAATTTTTAAAATGTGATTAAAAAATTTAAACCCTGCAGCAGGAAAAAAAAAAAGTATTTTTTTAAGAACAAATATTGATTCATTGCAAAATTTAGATATAAATTTAAAACAATGGTAAGCATTTAAAAATATATGTAAATATTAAAGCTGATGCAACAAATTAGTCAACTATCTCAAAAAAAATTTTTTTAATGGTTGTTAAAACAATCATGTCTAAAAGTTTGGATCATCATTGGAAAAATTCTACCAAATAAGAGTATACTTTCCTAAATTATTTAACTTTATGAAAATAATAAAAGAACAACTATATTGAATATATATTGTTTCCTGAGTTTTACTGTATAATTTTGGCTATATATATATTTTTAGTAACCTAACTTTTATATACTTATGAATGAAATCATCATCATACTATGTACATTCATATTAGTGAATTTGTGTGTTAAACACTCCAAAATTTTATACCTGCATCAACAAAAACTGTAACCAAATAGGCAGCTAGTAAATCCACAGGAAACTTAATTACTATATTAGCTTTAAAAGTCTCATTTAACATTTAAGGAATGATAAAGCTTGTCAGAGACTAGATGAAATAAACAATAGTTGATAAAAAGAGACAGAGTGTTTGCCTTTGGTTAATGTAGTTAATCACACTTGTCTCCTGCAGGAACTCTTAATTCCTGCCCAAATTCTCCCTTAGTCTCCACCAAGTATATCTTGACCCAATTTTGAAGGCCCCTGAAAACTTCCAGCTGGGATAGGCACTCACACAGGCCTGCTTGAATGCCATGCTCTCTGGGCTGTGCAGGAACTCCCAGAAGGAAGAGAAGAGGGGTTAATTGGTGGTGATTAAGTCCTCACTATTCTCATTCAGGCAGAATAGGAGGGAGACCAGTCCCCTTATTTATTTCCTGAAGTCTGGCTCTATTAGGGCCAATTTCAGGGTGTGGTAGGAGAAACAGTCATTGATCCTCAGAGTTGTGCTATTCACATCTCTGGGCTGGCCCAGAATTTTCAGAGGGGGAACGACCTAGTAGTGGTGCTTACAGTTGAGCCACTGGGCCTAACCAGGGCACAAGGAAATACCTGGGGCATGGTAGACATCCACCTCCATATAAGTCAGAGATATATCCAGTGCTTGAGTTTCTCAAGAAAGTCTGTGAGGTCTTGGTAAACCAAGAAGACTGCCATGGCCATGAACAGCAAGAAGATGAAGATAAGCAGGACCCAGAGAACATTCTCCAGGGAGGCCTTTCTGAAGCAGATGCTGCTGGAAGTGCAGTCACTGTCATGGGCTGGTAAGGTTCCTGAACTTTGAACTG